AGGGAACTGCTAGGAAGCACAACACAGTATCTAGACCAAGCGTACCAACGAAAGTTATAGATAATAATAAACCCCATGGGAGGGGAGGACCCCCAATACCTAAATAACCGATTTTAGAACGTTCTATTAAAAATTTTCCGCATTTTCCGCGTATTTCCTTAAAGTACGAGTATTATTAGCGTCTCCTGTTATCCCCCATTTTGTAATGGTCCTACTTCTCTTTCATTCACCGGACATTTGACCATGGTCTAGCGTTAACGACGGTACCCTTTGCTATCCGATATCGAATATTTATCGCGTCTTTGAAAATTTCCAGGCCGAAAGTCGCGTCCCGTGTGGACTAATAAATTCATCCGCGACTGTCAGGAGAGACGCTGCTGTACAAAAGGAACGGGACAGCGTTAATTATACAGGGGTGGTTCTCGTCGCGTTAAATTCACCGTGTTCGTGCATTGGGCGAGCGATTTACTTTGCGTTACGAGCCGCATTGTGCCCGAAACGTCAGGGGTAACCTAGAAAAAGTGACGCATACTCTTTATCGGCCACTAAACGCGTGTGTTCTGTTTACCCCGCGCCCCGTGCCGCGTGTATCCGGGCTACGATAAGGTGGACATCGCGGCTCAGGAGCGTCGAGGTTAACTCGAACACTCTTAAGGATGAACGGTGAATGGCAAACAGAATTACCTTCTTCCTAGCGAGAAGGAAAAGGTGGCACTTGTTCGATGCTCGTTACGCTTATTTAATATTCGATTGGTTTCTGTGGATCTACGAGAGCCTTTTACGGACCTCGATTGGCCATTCTAGCTCGTTCCTCTTTCGATCGCGACGCTCGTTCACGCATTTTAACGAGGCAACGAGAGCTAAAGGTTGAATAAAATTGAAGACGTGGAGGGAAAATTGTAGCTCCATGGGAGTTGCAATTAGATCGGGATGGTATATTTATATTACTGCAAGGTTAATGGGTTGTGCCAGTAGTAGTGAATCGGAAAGAAGAGTTCGGTTCGGTCGATGAACGTTTGAGATAGATGCGAGAGTTCAAGTAGCAACAAAAGTCCTTAAAGAGGTATTCAATTTTTATTTCAAGTATCTTTTCGCATTTATCGTAGCTCGAAGATGTGTAGTAAAATTTAGTAAGATTTAAACTACGATTTATCGTACTAGCTCTCTATTTCTCATTTTTCAGGCATACATGTAACGTCACAAGGACACGTTTAAATTTGCAGCGATAAGCATGCGAAATTTCTCGTTGCCTATTGACATTTATACCTTTCGAAATGTCACTAATTTCTGACAGTATGATACGATGACTTACCTCTTTCTACTATAGCCTAAAATTTATATATAACCTGACAGAAACGTAGCGAATACACAGAATATTTATCAAATATTAACCTCCATGAAAATGACATTTATGTTTAACCTTTGTCCACGATCATCGATCAATGATTCACGTATTTATGTAAAGAATATACGTCTATGCAAAATATGCAAATGATGTTAGATAACAGCTCTACTTTTTAGAATTCTCCGATAACAAAACGATAACACCAATTTCTATCCAGGTCCCATAACTTTGTTACTCACTTTTATATTTGCATTCAGTACACATTATACTTAATTGACACTAGAATCATTGAAAGCGTCTAAATATCTTTAAAACCTTGTTTCAAATACATTAATTTTTGCGTCTATTCAAATACCACAATGATTATCATCATATATGTATAAATTATTCAGTTTCCCGTTATAGACCTATAATCTATATAGTCCTAACGTCAAACAGAAAACTATATGTAGAATTGGAATGAGTACGAAAGAAGGAAAGAATGTCAAGAGTGCTTAGAATTGACTGCAAAGAATATTTATAGTAGAGTCAAGTCAAAGTTTAGGGATGCCTCCGGAGTGGTTGAAGTGCTTGGTTGGTGGGAAAAGGGCATGATTGAGAAAGAAAGCCTGGGTATGAAAGAGGACAGAATGCAAGGTTTAAATAAGGGTGCAAAGTAGGCGAGTCAGTCTTTAAGAGCTTTTAAAATCAGTCTTTTTGCAGTCTTGAAGAATGTGTGTAAGAAGTCCAAGTCAGACTAACAGTTCAGTCTAAGAAAGATCAGAAGAGCATGCTCGTAGCGAATCTCTCTCTTGTTTCATAGCCAGCCGCCATTCTATTTATAAGCTTATTTTATTCTATTAAGAAGCCAACAATACTATCCTAAGTCAGTGCACCCAAAATCCGATCCTACATATATAATAATACTTCCTCCAAAAATCTTCCCCCAACGACGAGGATCACAACCCTCAAGAAAATCTCCGTTCAAAAAATTGAAACCAATCGTTCAATTCTTTATCGACCAGTCCAAAATGCTATTCGACAAACATACAGTAAAATATAATTTGATAACACACCCTCTAATTCACCCTCGTTCTTCAATAAGGGTTGCTCATCGAGGAACTCGTACGTTTAAATTCTCCGTTGGTTATAATAATCCGTGGAAAGGTACTCCACGAAAATTGTGCAAAATATTGTTTAGTTATACTCCCGGCACTGTGCTCCGCCGTTACAGCGTATACACTTCCAGCCCGTTATCCAATCTTGCTTTACGCTCCCTTATATTACTTCATCTTCCGTGGCCGCTGTACGGGTACCGCGCTCGTCTCGTGCAGGGGCCCCTGTTCAGACAGCACGTCGTAAAACAAAAATTTTCCCAGCCCACGCGTAGGCGTGCCCATGACCTGGAATTAAATAAAACGTCCCTGTTCATCGGGACCAAGCCGCGAAGGCGTTGCAGGAGGAAATTGAAACCGTGCACGGTATTAACTTAGCCTGCATTATATCGGGATACAATGTCGAGACGGACTTCCTTAACCAGCCATGCCACGTGGAACGGCCTGCATCGAAACATGCAACTTTAATAAAAATAACACGGTATCCTCGATTCGTGACAGACACTGTGCAGGGCGTTGCAAAATTGCGGATCGATCGAATAGGGGATGATAGGACAGAGCAGAGGGTACTTTTTCGCTACGAGGCGGCTGTTCGATTTTATCACGTGGTTACGATGCAAGCAGAGATTCGGAATTTAGTCCACTGGCAAAAATCTGCGATTACTCTTTATCCAACGCTGAAAGAACGTGTGCTACAAATGTGTCCGTGGCAAGATATTTTTGAGGTTAAGACGCAATCCTATATACTCTATCGCTAGTGGCTACCTGAGATACACTGAACAACGTATCCTACGTGTGCATCAATATGCGCAATGTAAATGTGTATAGTGTAATTACGAAAATTCTGTGAACTCGAGACGCATTTCATTCTAATTAACCTCTATACACTTACTTCATTCGCAATAAAGGCTTTTAGAGATCACGTAAATTTTTCGCACACGGAAACGTTAGTATAATTAGTTGAGTATAATTTTTCTGGTATGACGAGTGTAGTTTGTTTCTATGCATAATTTGTCTTGAATATGTCTCCACAATATGGTCTCCTAATGTTATTAAATATAAAATTAGCATAAAAAGAATTCAACATGAATTTCTGAGCTTATAAATCATATAATAGAATGAACTTTACCGATCACGATTATGAACCAATCTTAAAAAGACTAAACCTGAAACCTCTTGAAACTCGTAGGACGATTTTCGATCTACTATTCTTATTTAAATTAATTAATGGCGTTGTTAACTGTTTAACTATCAACTTTTATTCGCCTGCTAGATCACTGAATCATTGCGATCATTCCTGCCTCGCAAATACACTTCCAGATACGCTAATACCAACCCTGTAAACTTGTAGAAAGGACCAGTTTCGAGCTAGATTTCTTCGCTGCATTAGCCAATTCCTTTTATAAACTATTATCTAAATATGTCTAATTTATACTGTCATTTCTTCATTCGTATTTGATATGTAACGTCTTTTATATGTAATGTGCTCAGTATAGAACTGGTTAAGTCTACAAAAGGTACACTAATGGGGCTACCCGTTAATTATATATAAATAAATGAATAAGTAATTACTTTGTCCCTCAACTTTTGTCGAGAAGGGTATGTTCATCGATGCAAACAGAATGTTCCTTTCGCCATCCACTTTCAAACTGTGCCCCCTGATTCACCCGTAATTCTAGGACATCCTGTAGATAAGATTGCTATCTTTGGGAAGCAATTTCTTCTTCCACGGTTACCTTCTCTTTTTACTTTTCACTTCTTTCCCATTCGCTCCTTTTCTAACGCCTACGCGATCAGAGAACAGTCGTTTGATCTATTTTCGAGGGATCGATACAAGCGTCCCTTTCAAGCGTGCTCTCGCACGCAAGAGGCAATAATAAAGGCGGGGGCACAATGCTGAAGGGTCTGAACGAGTACGTGGAAACAGTGGTCGCGTGTTATTTAAGGGGTCTTAGGTAACCGGTTAACCCGATCGAAACCGCCTAGTAACGATACACACCGTTTGTTTGCAGTACTTGGAAAATGGCACGACAATCAAATTAAAGAACGTCCGTTTCGAGGCGTCCGGCTCGTATTCCTGTCAAGTCTCGATGACGACTCCTATTTATAGCGAGACTTCCGAAAGCGTTCAAATGAAAGTTATAGGTAAGCCATACGACCATCTTTACGAAACTTAAACCTTTCGCGCACCATTTTCTTTGCATAGGCTACTGCGCCAGTTCGGCCATTGCAGAACGGCTGTCGGACTAACGGCTTCTCTGCTGGTCCAACTTCCGTTGTCTGTGCTGTGCAACCATAAATCATTTTTCCGCACCATGTATCTTTCCGTCGCGATATTTTCTATATGTGCTTTGCGTGAGTGGTAATGGATTTTTCTCGGAGTTTCGTCATTTTTAATTCCGCTACCATAAATAACTGCACTACGGGATACGAAGACACGAATATTCAGATCTGCTGCAAATCCCTTATATCGTGAGATTCTTATGTGCTTACCCTGCCCGTGTTCTTGGAAACTCGTACCCTTTGTTTCGAGCTACTCTAATTAACTTAGCCTCGCATTTTTAATATAATGGGAAATATTTTTTCACTGCCGAGTTGGTCAGTACTTTTGAACAAGTTTAAAAAGTTGCAGCGCATTGTTATTATATAGGTCGGTGTTAGATGGACCTAAATTTTCCCAGATTTTCTACTGAATAGAAGATTGAAATAAATAATGAAAGAGGGATTTTGCATGTTCTTAATAATTATTCCCGGTTTGAATGTAGAACGGTGTGGCTTGTATGAAATTGTCAAGGATTTTTCTAACGAGATAAAGGGACGGAATTAATTGCTTCGTTAATTTTAGCACTATATCTCTAAGTTATCTTAATCTGTAAGAATTCTCCTTCTCGCGAATCTGTGAGAAACTATTACGATGCTTTTCTACTTTTCCTTCGACGATTTCGAGATTTTAAAACGATATGAAATGCCATTTTTGATGGACGATAAAACAGAAAACGAACTGACTTCCACTTTGAATATTTCATTAAAGAGTCACGCGAATATTAGAAGCATTAACTTGTGACGCAATTTTAAAAGAGAGGGCCTGGTACAATGTGAGAGATAAATTTGGAAATAAATATAAAGTTGTAAAAAAAGTTTCTCCGTGATACAGTTATCTATTCATAAGTCGAAAAGGAAGTTTTTAAAATTGGGAAAGTTAGGGAACACGTGAAAGCACTTCCAAACATGCAATTAAAAGAATTCTTTATTCCAACGTCCTTGTCATGTCACAAAGAGGTTAAAGCACATTGATCTTCGCTTATTTTACACTTCAGCTATAAATGTCATTTTTAAATACATGAAATACATAAAATTCATATCTACGCGGATGTTAAGACGGTTTTCTTAATGGTCTAAATTAAATATTTAACCACATAAAAACGACGTCTTGAGCTGCAATTTAATGTAATTTCAGTTTAATAATTGAAGACATCAATTCACGGAAACTCGACCTATTTCGTCTTCGCGGATTTTGCAGAGAAAATCGGGAAACTTCGTTCTTTAAGTTTTTTAATATTCGGGTTACAATCTAGTATGTTAAGCTGTAACGCGATGTAACGTATAAAGCAAAAGTTAACATGTTAACTAGTTTATTTCTCAATTTAATATTTGCAAATTTCATAGAGAAAATTGAGAAACTGGCATTGAAATTTGTTTAATATTTTCTCTGTCACATAATGACATAGAATATTATACGTCAATTTGTAACATGTTTAACATATTGTAATGTCTATAATATCTATTATGTATAATAGATATATAATAGAACGATTACACGTTGATCGCATTGTTTCCTGACCTATTTGGTCTTGGCGAATTTTACACCGGAGATTAAGGAGCTTTATTATAGAAATTTTGCAATATTTCCCTCGTAGTATAATAACGTATAATATTGTATATCAACCTGTGGTACGTTACGAAGTATAATATGCAACGTTAACACGTTAACTAGCTTATTTTCCATCATTGCAAAAACTGTCGATTTTCGCAAACCTATCAGCAAAGTTGATTCATGTTCGTTCCGTAATGCCCAGGCACGCTAATATTTGCATTCGCGTTTCTGAAACGAAGGAAATAGCAAGAAAATAATTATACGCAAATATTATACGCACTTGTTAGAACGAAGCGGTTAAACGCATAATAAAAAAGGATTGACAAAAGTAGAATTTTATATCTCGCAACAAACATAGTTAAATTCGCTCGTATCTTTACACTTTTCCGGACTACAACTTCCATATTGCTTCATACTATTTTTTCCCTCCTTTAATCAGGAAAGAAACATTCGTTTTCGATAAGACGCTGAATAAAAAAGACTCGAACGATGAAAGGTGCTATCAGCCAGGTTCATCCTTTCATCGATCGATCAGCTAATTATGCAATCGTTCTGCTTATACCGTGAAATAAAATCGCGATAAAACACGATGTCTTTGCAATTATAATGTGCCGTTCAAGCATAAAAATGTTATATGACTTTTATCGGCATAAATCGGGACAGGTCGCGTACAGGCTGCACGTTCCGCTCGGTGTAAAACACGAAGGGAATACATTTGCAAGCGTAATCCATACAAGGGAAAAAAATGATCGCAAATATCGTACTCGTTCCACTTGCTGGAAAGAAAGCAAATGTATTAAAAATAAAAAGAGAAAAAATGAAACGAAAGTTAAACATTTAGCTTAAGTCTGAAGCTCCTGAAGCGTTCTTACCCAAGATGTTCGCGGTAATTCTGTTCTAATTAGCTTTATGAAATTGCGTAGTACCACAGACTGAAAACCCGAAAATCACGTTCAAGAAGAGCATGTACGTGGTGGGCGAAAGTTTAGAGGCGAATTGCACCTCCTCGGCTGCGCATCCAGTTCCTCACTTGACTTGGTACATAAACGACAAGGAGGTGAGTAAATGTCAAAGATAACAGGCAACTTTCTTCAACGAACCTCGAACGAAGTAATTTTTACCCGGTGATGTCGTTGGTTTTAATTAGCGACGCAGCCGTGCAACCCCTTTTAAATTTAACCGGTTTTGTATCGTTCGTTAAGACCTGCAATGAGACAAAAGAGTTAAGCTGGCGTGTAGAAACGAGTAATCGTTGAATTGCGGCATAGCAAGTTTCAAATTAACTCTCTAATTTGTCACTTGAAAGCGATAGACATATTTCTCATTCGTTTGTCTTTCTACTATTGTATTTTAGTAATAAGTCTAGTAATTTGTGTAAATACAATAATTAGCAGCTTTTTAATTGAAGATTAATTTAAAAGACTATATTTAAATGTATTAATTTAAAAAACTTATTTACAGTAATTACCAATCTCTAAAGTTTAGATTATAATGAGAAATTATGTATAATAAAATAGAATCAGAATTATTTGATAAGTTCCAGTTCTAAAAAATTAAATCAAAAATAAAATTTTAAAGCCATCTGAATATTTAGTAATACTATTACTTCTATAAATCTCTTTCCAACTCTGACTCTTCAAGTACTGACTGTGACAATAGATCAATGTCCTCTGGATTTTTTCGACCTCCCATTAAGGAAATTTAGAACCTAAAAAAATATCAGTTTCTTTGTAAATAGTCTTAAATTAAGATAGATGATAAAAGAGCAATCGTTGTTTTAACTCGTCGAAGAATAACACTTTTATTATCTTTCTTGATGGATTTGTCTACATAAATGTGATAAACGTTATTTACCATTGACGATAGATTGAATAGAAATTTTCCTTCTGCCATTCTGACCGATTGTCACGGTTTCTTTTGTCTGTTACACTAGGTGGATATCAGTCTGGTAAACCACTATCCGCACACGTACCACAAGGACCAACTGATGTCCGCTACTGCGAAGCTAACCATAGAGGTGTCCGCGTTGCACGCTGGGGAGAATGGATACTTGGAGATCAGCTGCTCTTCAACTATTCCTGATTATCCCTTGCACCACGTGAAATACGCTGATATAAGAAAGGAAACGGTCTCGGGTAATTATTCCATCCAATTTTCAAACAATCTCTGTCTTCACTTTCATTTCTTTCCTTCACACCTGCAAGTAACGAATATGATTTAAAAAATCTGTAAATTTAATTTACGGGTACTCATTTTCAGGAATTTACCTTTACACGATTTTCCAGCGCTGTTAATTGATTTAATTACTGTCGGGAACTGATTTTGTAAAAGTTTGTCTGTCGACATCAAAGAGCCAAGTGAAGTCTGCATTCGTTCCATTTATAATTGCTATATTTTCCATGATAAGTAGAAATTACTCATTTCCAAACAATTTTTATTTTATGCTTAATTTCAGATTGAATGTCCGACCTGTAATTCGGTTATTAAATATTAGATTACTTTAAAATTTTTCGGCGAATGTTAATTCTATTCATCCTATTTGTAATATTTCTGTTTTTCAGTTTCCTCTATTTTTTTTCTCTCTTTTTTTTATTTTGACACGGAAACCATAGACAAACGATTCGCGTTTTATGAAACTTGACCGATTTAAATTGGAATTCGCTTTTCAAATGGAAATTTGTTTTTACGGATTGAAATCGATACACGAGTATTAGGCCTGGTTTACAAACCAGGAGAAAGAACTGTGCATCGCGTACGTTGCATTTCTCCGTTCGTTTTTTTCCTTTTTCCTTCAAAAAGCATTTTTCTACTCAAATCTGCTAGCCATGAGATTTTCATCTCAAATTCCTTTTCTATGCTTCACATAAGGCAAACTAATGAATGAGATGCGTAGCTTCAAAAGTAGACGTTCTAATTAACCCGTTTGAAGCGCTATTGCATCGCGAGAGAAAACGTCCAATTAGAAATAGCAATCGCAAAATTCGTATATACCTTCTTCATTCCTGCGTTACGTCTAACATCGTAGAAATGTCGTTCACGAATTCGAATTCCATTTCAGTCAAGCTTAACACACAATTATACTAAATGATACAATATTCTCTGTGTTTATATTAACTGTTTAATGTAAATTATTAGATGTGATGTACGTGAGATGAATTTTATAATTAAGATTAATCAAAATGGGAAAAAATATCATGTGATAAAAATAATGATTTTCTGAACTTATTGTTATATAATTGAATCAATTTATTATGCTTATGAAAGTTAGATGGGTTCTTAATAATTACTTTAAAATTAATTTAATAATATTTTTTTGTGATAGAGGAGGCCATCAAAGAAGTATGATTTATATTGAATGGCTAACAGAAAATATTTTTCGAACATTTTTGTGTTGTATAAATGCAAAAGGTCAAATCAAGCCTTTTTAAATGGAGATATATACTTGCTTTTAATAACATTGTTGGAAAAAGCTGAGAAACAAATTTAATTATAAGAAAAATTTTATATTTTAAATTCCAGTAGATGTTTCAATTGCATGTAATTTCCTGTTGCAAGACATTTTACTATTTCATAGGAAGCAATATAAATTGCAAATAATAAAATGACTAAATTTAATTATTAGAAAAAATAGTAGTTTGAAATACTATTATTTTCACTGCTGCAAGCTTTATTCTTTTCATCCTTTAAATTCTTTGTAATCCAATATCACAAAAAATTCAGAAATATCAGTGTAACTTTAAAACAAAAAATATTTATTCCTACAAAAATTTTCATCTCTACATTACTCATTCAACACAGATCAATTTTTCTCGATGACCTTACTCATCGTAATGTCGCAAATTAATAAATTTCACGTAATTGTTCCATCTTTAACTAGAAAAAATTCCAAATTTAGTACTGAATAAAAATTTTAACAGATATGAAATACAAAAAATATAACTCACTCTGTTTCATCGGTCGTATGGAATTTTATATTTATAAATTTTTCAAGTGACACACTGTATCGCGTATCGTGCGCTTCTAACGTGAGATCCTTCTTTGTTCGTTGTTCCAGTGCAAATTATACCCGCGCCGATCGCCGAGTCCTCAGCACCGAATGTCGCGTGGGGATGGCCCCTAGCTACGTTACTGTGCATACTCTGCGTGATGCACAAGATCATTCCTTAATAAAAGTCAATTGCTTTAGGATAATTAAACGAAAGAAAAAAGAAAAAAATTAAAGAAAGGTGAAGAAAAAAAAAACACAGGAAAAAAAGCGCAAAAAAAAGATGTGTAATATACGTAAACGAAGTGTAAACACGAGTGGAGAAAAAGGGAGAACTTGTGGGAAGGGGGGAATATATATATTATATACATGCATATATATATAAATATATATATATATATATTAAAGAACGAACAATCACAATGTCTTCCTTGATTATATCGAAATACACGGGGGCAGCGATTTTATTGTCTTGCAGAAATTTTATAAACTCATATAGACGCGGCTTCTTCGTGCAACTATTTTCGATTGTCGCTTGTATCGATCGTTATCTATTTCGCGGAAATATTATCGAATCCCGGGAGTGAATTCCGTTCGTTTCCTGGTTGTTTTGACTCGTTAAGAGTTCACGACCATCGAAACGGCGATAGACGAAAATAAGTAAAATGAAAAAGAAAAAAAATATGGGAAAAGAAAAAGATAACGTAGTGAATAGTAATTCGCCGGTTAACAGTGATTTTTTCTAAAAAGAAAAAGATGAAAAAAAGATAAGCACACATACACACGGGCGCATTTTTCTTCTTCCACTCCTCGTAACGTCGACAGCAAGATTAAACCGTTTACCATCGTTCGAGATCTCTGTATGTACATATTTGTTTTTGGTTCAAAATCCTTTAACTATGTTGAGACTATATCGAATAGAATAATTTATTCGCTCGTACGAAATCGTCGAGGAGAATTTATTGTATCCGCGAGAGTATATACGACGCACTGTTTTATCTACAGTTTAGAAAACTATCTACATATCGCTATTTCATGATTATTGCGACGCCCTCTCGAAGCGATCCCGAGCATTTCGATGGGCAGATCTGTTCGTTCGGTCGGTATATCATAACGATCGGAGACGGTGTAATGAATGTCAATTCGTAAATCGAATTTCTTATTCGAAATTAAGAAGTGTAATCGTATAGTTATCGTTTCAGATGAACGTTGAAGTATAATCGTGTACAATTTTTTGGAAGACATATAGCTGATTTTAATATCTATCGTTTAGGTACGTGAAGTTTCTCTATTAAATTGATATCTTTGTTTTGATCGAAAGGTTAAACACGATTTAACGAGAACAAACGAGAATTGAATATCTTTAGTGTATCATCTTGAAGCGTGTATAATTATTTTCTTGTTCTTGTTTTCTTGTCGGCACACATAACCAAAGATGAACATTGTGATCGATTATTTAACGTTTTTACATTCCTAGTTCTAGTACAATCTAAGTACTCGTCGTAAAACTAATTTAAGTAAGAACGAAGAATTACCTATATATTTCATATACATATTATCGTATAAAGAGATATGATAAGTTATATAGGTATGATACATACGAGCTTCGTACACGTGTGCATGTGAATGTTTTGTTTTCAAATATCTCAGATATTTATATAAAAAGATTATACATATATATGTATGTTTGCTAGCAAACGCAAAGTATAGTCCAAAACTGGCATCCTATTGACAAATCAGAAATTAAGACTGTTGTACCTTGTTATCGGCATAATGATATAATTCGTCGTTAACGACGATGTTACTTATTTAATACGCTATCACTGTTCTTTAATTTACTCTCGTTCCTCGTATTTCCTATAAGACGGAGATATATCAAATATTTGTACGTATATTTATTATCGATGTAAAAATGATTCCACCTAAGGCACTCTCCTGTATAATAATGATGTCTAGTTTTCACGAAACGCATTTATATGTAATTAATGTAAAGCCAGCTACATACGTTTAATTATACCGTGCAATAAAATTGTATGTTATAGGTAACAAAAGAATTGAAAAATCGTCGCGTGTGATATGCAATCTATTATTAATTATTAGCACGGTTCGTGCATAGGTTAATTTTATATCGTGCCTAGAAATATATAATTCAGGCCAAAATTATATTTTTATTAATTATTATATGATACAATCATTATTTACATTTCGACGTAACTTTTCTAGTATATTAATATTTCCTAAAATATATATTCTGAACTGCCACTCTATACTCGAATATTCCCTATTATTTCTTTCTTTTCTTCTAGTAACTTTTGTTTTATTATTCAACAAATTTATCACTTACGTCTAAACTAGTTACAACCTAACACTACCCCGAATGTTTGTACCATAAAATTTTAACGAGCAACGAGCAATTGTGTCATTTAATCGCGCTATATGTGAACTCGCGAAAAATTGTCATAAATGCGTAATATCGATATAGAAAAATATAACTTTCCTATACTTATTTTAAACCCGTCGTTCAACTTTCAACACAGTTTTATTGCACACTGTAATCAATCGTCTATAGCTGACTTGGTAAAACGTACGCACACGTAGGCTCGTCCCTTAAGAACATAACTTGTTCGTTACAACAAGCCCTATTTTTAACGAGAAGTAAAAAGAGCGAAAGAATGAAAGAAAAAGTTGTACGCGATCAAAGGGGGAGATCTGGTTATTTTGTTGCCACGGGCGTGGATTTCATACACGCCTATAAATGTCTACACGGGGCAGAAAAACAACAAGGTGTAATTATAGAATTTCCTTGCCTACGCACCGCGCTCTGCTCGTCGATCAATAAAATTGTGTATACGACGGCTTTCCGGGACATCCCACGTGTGCACGATTCTAAAACGCTTCCGTTCCCCTTTTTCTTCTCTTCTTTTTTTTCAGTTTAACATGTTCTGTGCAAGGGAAGAACGAGAGGAAGAGTGATAGAGTTAAACAGATAGAGAGGAAGATAGAAAGACAGAGAGAGAGAGAAAGAAAGAAAGAAAGCAAGGGAACCAGTGTGAGTGGGAGAGAGAGAAAGAGCGTTATATCCATAATGGTAAGAGATCTTTAGCAGGTGATACTTTCGACGTATCGTGCAACATATCGTAGCGTTATAATTACACGTAAAGAGTTAATCTTTTCGAGCCTCACGGCTACTCGATTGTCCTTGTTCTCGAGAGCCGCGCGATAATAGTCGCGGCACAATGCCGATACAATGGAGACGGTGACGAACGCGACCCAGCTCGGGCCACTATACAGAGTGAGTCGCCCGAAACGGAATTTAACTTGAATAAAGAAGTTTCATGGATTCGATGGACAATGCGTGGGACTGATTTAAATGGTTTCGAGGTACGAATGATTATGATTATACTCTTCAAATTCTTCTCCTTATCCTATTGTACATAAAAATTAGATGGTTCTTTTTTACAGATTTTTTTTTTACGAAATTTGTGAAATCACAATAGCGATAATATAATTATAAATTTCTATGGTAACGAGAGTTTGTAAAATTAAAATTTATAACAACGATATCGCGAAACAATATACGGAATATGTAATTTTCAGGGAATTCGAAATTTCACACCGAATCGACGAGATCTAAATTTTGCCTGTGAGAAAAAATATTTGCTATTTATTAACAAAGTAGCAGAAAAGATTTGAAACGGATCGAAATTAGTTGATCGAAATTGTGAAAACGAATATGTATACCGGACGAGTATGTAATACGAACCTGTCTGATCCTCGAAGCTATTGAAATCGTATCACCCTATGGATACCGCTCTGGATACCGCAAAATGGAAGACAAAAGGCGACCGAGTCGCGGGAAAAGCGGCAAATTCCCGCCAGTAGCAACCGGTGTCGTAGACAAATGATCAAGATGTTGTTGTTGTTCACGTTGATGTCTTCTTTTCAAATGCTGATTGTAACTACAAACGAGATTCCATCGAGCGACGATAAAACGTTGGTCCATTCGACGAAGAATCTAGCTGTGAGGATAGTCGGCGGAGAAGTCACTGACATAAAAAACTACCCGTTTCTCGTAGGTGAAATGCGCCCGTGACGTTTCCTAAATATTATATAAAACTACGGATACTCGAATCACTCTAATCGTCTCGAGGAGACGGTGAAAAATATAGCTATAGAAACGTCATCGAGACTATGTCAATTTACGATACCTTTCCTAACAAGTCTCGATAACGACAAAAAAGGCAATTCCTCGTAAGTTATTTTATTAGAATTCATAGAGAGTAGCAGAAAATGCGTAAAATGTTTCCTATTAACGGAATTGATCGATGTAAAACTCGCAGAGAAGAAAATACACAGGATGATCCAGAAAAGAGGGTTAAATAATTTAGGAGAATATTGAAAGCAACGTATCAATATAGGTATGCAAAATAATTCTAAAGGGGACAAGCACTTTATTCTTGACTATTAATATCAGTAAAGAGTACAGAATACTGATGAAACGATTCCACATAGACCGGAAATTTGTTAGATTTACGTTGAATTGGAAGATAAGAACGTGGAACGCCTTTTATAATGAGCTGAAATAAGAATCTGATATTAAATGAACATCTTGATCTCACAGCATGTTCCATCTCCTTCAGGATTAATTTGCATTTCTATGTTGATAGAATCTTCTTTTTCTCTCTTCAATGGATGTATATACACCTGAATTATTTAACTTTTCTCTTAGATCATCCTATAAAGCAGTTCTTTAATTAATTCTGAAAATATTATTCGTATACGTTAGAATAGCAAGTTTCTCTGGAAACGATTAGAGTGTTCTTTATGAATATCCTAGTTGTATCGGTAAGATGTAGGGGTTCGCTGATGACGAAACCGAATTTTCAATGTCAATTTCTCGTAGGTCTCGGTCCAACGGCGACACTTTAGTCATATCTGCGGAGGTACTTACATAGCACCGAGATTCGTTTTGTCAGCCGCTCATTGCATGGTCAGGTGCGTTCTAAGACTGCGACACTTCTACAGTCTATCGCTCTTCGCCCTAAAATGGTAGCAGTGTATCTTTAACGTGTCGGATTTTGTGACCAACAGATTAGTGAAAATAATCAATTGACGAAATGTTCATAAGTCTATTTATGGCAACTCGATGAATTATGGAATTGGTGCTTGTATATGTGACTGCACGATGAATACTCATCGTATAATCATGAGAAATATTAGATAGACAGATTGGGAGTTTAGGGGATAATTTGTATCATTTAATTGATAGGAGAGAACCGAAGGAATTGCAAATAATTAAGATAAGAATTTTTTACAATTATTTTTCTTGAGCTGGAAGAGAAATGAGTTCAGGAGTTTGGATATTGAATTGTAACATATGAAATGGTTTGTTTTTAGTATAAGGCAGAAATATTTGAATTTATTGATAAAGTGTTTCATTAGCAGAATCAAGGAAACTTCTAGTATAAAATTCTAAAGATTTTAGGGTATTATTTTGTAGAATTTATTAGCCAGTAACTACGATCAATTGCATGAAGTCATTCGTGCGATGAAGAAGATTTATAGTCTTCGAATATAACAAGATTTCGTGTTCGAAATCATTCTATCGGTATAAAATGTGGCATATATGTTCAACCATTGTCACGAGAGGCAAGAGCATTGATATCGACTTGCGATAATTGCCTGTGTGTCTATAAATAGAATTTAGAAGAACCTTATAAACAGGTAGACTTTACTTGCAAAATATAAACGATAAAAATAAGATAATGAATAAATATTGCGTATGTTACAATCCAATATAAACAACGTAAACAGTTCCAATCTTAGGTACCAAACAATTAATCATTAAGTATAATACTTCTAACTTCCTTTTTAAGATATTAAACTTACACGTCGTCTTCACATTAAATAGAATTAATCGAGTTCCGTTTACCTACACATATGAAACAACCACTTTATTTTATCATACGATGTATCTTATATGCGGTTAAAGTAGTTTGCTCAAATTCATAGGGACAAGAACATAGAATCGATTTCCTTTTGGTACTCGTTTTGGTAAACGATTTTGTAGGAATTAGTTAGTTCATTGAAACAAAATGCGCGATAAACGACGTCTATAGTTATTTTTTTATTAAGATCATAGATAAATGAGACATCGTTATAAAGAGGAAAAAAAAATGGAACTTACTATTTCTCGTGTATTTTTATGCTACCATTTTATGGTCATAGAGCACTCTCCGCTCGTAGCGCTTTCATTGCTATCATAGACACGTATGCTGCTTTTTAAGGTCTTCAAATGTGACAGATGCGAAACTTTGGCAATATTAGAGACTACTATAGCTCGTTCGAAATTAATTAATTTAAGGCCACTCGTGTACTAATTTTCCACCATATCTCTTATATGTCAGATAGATAAAGGAATTGATTTAAAAGGAACAGTATGAATGAAAGATTCTAGTATTTTACTTTTACACAGACATATTCAAATATACTTTTTGTAATCATATTTCTTGTAAAGATATGTATTCAGCAGAATTAAATGCAGAGGATATTATATCTTCGTTAAATATATTAATTCCCTTTTAGATCTGCTGTAAAATTTTTTATCTATAATTTTATTTTTTTTCATCTGTAATGTTTGCCCACAAAATTATGTTTATTTTATCCTTCTTCCTTTAAAAGGACTGCAATATATAACGAAATTGTGGAGGAAATAATGTGCAGTGCATAAATAATCTTTATAATGGAACAAGTGGCCTTGATTAAGCTAATTGATTTTGAATACACTATAGCGGCATCAATTTTACTATCAGATTGCAATTCTGAATTAAATTAACGCGATCGTTAACCTTTAGATTGCTAAATGTGCAATCTAGTATAGACTATCTGTGTTTTGAGTGAATCTATAGGAAGAAAATAGCTAAATGTCAATGTTCGATAATAAGTTGATGAAATGACGAGATAATTAATTAGTCGTCGATTAAGCCGTTAACTGGGTTAATATTTGATTGAGTAGTACTTATGTTCGTTAAAAACTGAACAAGAAAACAATGTACATAAATGATTTTTCAAAAAATTACAACAAAAAAGAAAAGCGCTTCAAAATTAATTCAATAGCTAAAGTAAAAAAGTACAAGTGATATTTTATTTTTCTCCTATAAATATCATTACTGAATCTTTTAAATAATTTAGTCCTCGCTTAGTTAACGGATTAACACTGAATAAAAATTTAAAGTTCCAACAAAATTTACTTGTTCATCATGTACCATTTCATACCTACCAGCATACGTAGTAGCGTGTATCAACGATAGTAGCGACCACAGCAGTGAAAGGGTTAGCAGCGTTAGATCGTATTAACGTTTACAAGAACCAAAAAAGTGAAAAACGGAAAAAAAAGAAAATAAGATAAGAAACGAAAACTGACAATGTAAGTGCGCTAATCATTTACCACTATCTTTGTAATCGGTTCATCCGTTTCCCATCGACTTTCCCAGACGCGTTTATTAATTTCCGTGTGAAATCAGCTTTCTCTCCACTTTGGAAACAAGGAATCAGTGGCCGCCCGTGATGATCCTACGAAATTAATGTTATCATCGTTCTGTACGAAAGTTCTTATGTGTGCGTTGAAAAAGAAATTTACAAAAATGAAAAGCGAAAAAGAATTCACGGAAAAAAGAAAGCGAAACATGTAAGAATGCAAATACAATCGGAAACTGATCTGAGTAAATCGTTCGTATAGACCGATACGCGGTGACAATTGGATAGCCGAAAGTCCACGTCGATTCTACGCGATCGCCGGAGCCACTTACGTGTACTTTCCAAGCTGGAGTTCCATTCAGATGGAATTGGTAGACAGGATATTCCCGCACACGAACTTTAGATTCTCGAACATGCATCACGATATTGGATTGTTCAGGGTGACTATTATGTGTATATATAAACTCTATGTGGAAAATAAAAATAAATGAAAGAAATGAAAAAAAAAGAGAAAACAGAAAAGCAAAAGAGACGAGATTGAATTTGTCATGAAAGTTCCTGAACCAGTCGAGGAATAATCGTTTCTAATTTATTTTTCTGTTTCTTATCGCGTTTAGTTTTGTAAATGCGTTTATCCAACTTTGATTATGAAAAGTTTAATTAAATAAATGTAAAAAAGAAGGAAAATCGGAATGGAATGAAAGGGACAAATTTAAATCAGCATATTGTATCAGTTAAAAATCTGTCGATTGATTGTCGTTCTCTTTTTTCTTGCAAAAAACGCTGTCATATGACTTGTTATACGTGGGAATTGAATTAAAGAGAGTAAAAGTGGGAAAGAAAATTTCGGAATCGTGATTTTCGATCAATTGTAAATTTCTAGATCTACAAATTTTATTTCCTCATTTTTGATATTCAGTTTCCAATTTTTTTACATTAATCAGTACATGTACATTCTGTGTAGCGATTAAAAGAAGGGAAATAAAAAGATAGAGAAATAAAAGAAATAAATTAAATGCAGATGAATCGATTGCTTCTTACTCTATTTTCATGTTTCCCTTTCATGTCTAGCTTCGAGAAGCCTTCTAGATTAGTTTATAAAATAATATAAATGGAAAAAGGTCAAAAGAAAAGAGATGTAAAAGATAAAATTCAAACGAGAGACCTGAAATCAATAAAACATTATTCTATTGATTTTCATTTTATTTTCATGTTTATTTTTACGTCCAGCTTCGGAAACCCTTTCACATTAATTCGCACGTGAAATACGCCGTCCTTCCTCCTGCCTATGACGCAAACATTTTCCAAAGGTACACCAACCCCTGCACTGTGGTTGGCTGGGGACAACATATTCCTCGATCCACTGTACGTAGTTAACCGCATCTAGTTACTTACTGTCATCTGCAAAAATTGTTTCATTGATTGACGAGGATAGGAACAATATGTTGGAGCTTGCATTGTACAAAGCGTGGAAAATGCATGGCAAATGCTCTGATGGTGAATATGCAATTGAATGCAGAAAGAATACAGACCGAGTAAATATAGAGTATGCATAGTGGAAGTTCAGAATTGCGATGGACTGATCTTTGATCAGAGAAACTAAAAAAACTGCATTTATTTATACTTTTTCCTTTTACTTACATTTTATTCTATTTTTTTATTCTGTTTTATAAATTCCTTTTGATTCTGTTTTCTCTAGCCAGTTTCCGAAAAATGTGAGTTCTTTTGAAAAGCCACGATTTTTGGCTGAAATAAAACATCATATAAAAAGTAAAATCGTTAGGTTTACAGTTGTCTAACAAATTAGGTGAGAGTATCCTGAGTTTACCAATGTTATAATTATAATTATTTATGCTTCCGTGTAATTATAATTGGTTATGAAAGTTTCAAAACAAACCGCCACGTGTACCTTCTATGCACTATTCTTGCATTCTTTCAAAAAGTTCTTCGTATAACACGAATTTCCTACACAGAACAGCGTATTCTGCATACTTTTCTGAAGAAGTGACCATGGAACAGAATTATCAAAACAGTTTTCATTTCGATTAAATCGCGAAAAGATTTGTCGGTAAAGTTTATACGGCGTTTTACCACCACGCAGCACTGCTTACTTCACTGGCCTCGACAGTGCTGTAGCTACGAGTAATCCGAATACCAAGT